TTATTCATTTGCATCTATGAAGGCTCTGTGAGGAGACTGGGTTTTCCATTGATGAGATGAATATTTCCATTGTCAGTCTTTCCAGGAACAGCTCAGCCCCCCGCAGAGACAAGGCTTTAGGCTGGAGTGAGAGGCGTCCCAGGAAATAGGAGGTGCGCTCCCGGGCCTGGATGGAGATACCTGGCGTGAACTACTCCTCCCTTGGGTGGGCTGAGAGTGAGGAAGGGGCTCCAGGTTAGTGGCCCTGGAAGGTCTGGGCCTGAGTAGAAGTAAGGCTTTTGCTGTTGTTGCTTTGTGCCTTTTCCCCCTCTGGTACTTTTTCCACCATCCTTGGACCCTCAGGAAAGTCTCATTAAGTCTCTCTCTCTCTCTTTTTTTTTTAACTTGTAGCAAGCATTACTATCAAACTCCACTCATTGGGCCAGAGACCCTTGCAGTGTTAGAGAAAACACTCCCCTCCCACAGCACACTACCTACACCTGTGAATTCATCGGGAAACCAGGGGCCTCAGCTCCAAGTTCTAACAACGTGCGGATCTCATTAAGCCTGTTTAAATGTTCCACCTGACCTCAGCTTTCACTGCAGGTGACTGAGGCAAAGCCAGGGCAGGGAGGGTAGCAACCTGAGAGCACTGTCCAGCAGGAGCTGAGGCAGCCAGTGACCAGCAGAGCATCCTCTCAGCCTCTCAGCTCCCACACTGCCTTGGCCATGTTCGGACCCTTAACCAGATGTGGTTGTCACTGGCAGTTGGCTGGGCCTGTGAGCTCTAAGCCTGCAGTAACCTGCCATCACCCAGCTAAAGAGGCTCCAGGCCCAGGACCTCACCACCAGCCCACCTCCTGCTCCAAGAGGAAGAGTCCCTGGGCTAAGTATCCACAGCCCTGGGCCGGGGCCCCTCCTATAGCCAGATTTTGTTCTTTGTTTATTTCGGGGAGTGGTGGTGGTGATATTTAATCATTAATTTAGAGGAGCTCCTTTAAACTGTGTATAAGTGGCTACTGGGTGCACAGAGGGGAAAGCCAATCCACCAAGCTTGTGGCCATCAAGTAGCATCGTGGGGTAAACACTCGGTTCCCCAGGTGCTTTGGTTTGTTTCTTGCCAACTGCTCCCAAACTGTCCACTCCTCCAATGTCTGCTGTGGGATCTTAGGGGTTTATCTGTCAGTGGCGTTAGGGAAGGAGTTAGCCTAAGTGCGGAGCCCACTGGGTGATCTCAGGACTTTGTTGAGTCTGCTTTTCTTCCCCAAGGGTCACAAGATGAGATGACTCTGTGTCCTGGAATTCCAGAAGAAAGGACTGGGGAAAGCAGACAGAGCTGTCATGGGTGCTCCAATCAGAGAAACGCTGGGAGCGTGGGAAGTGGATGACGTGAGATGAGAGATCATGGGGGCCCATTTGGGAGGGGTCAGGTGTTGGGTGGCAGTAATGATAGCTGAAATCTGGGTGTGATACTACGGGGTCCCTGCTGTGTCACCCCAACTCTTCAGCAAAATCACAGAGCATCACACAATGTTGAACATGTTTGGAGTTTCTTAAGACCACGGAGAAGGAATCTGGGTCTAATGCACAGCTGCACCAAGGAGATTTGGACTCAGGAGCACAGAAAGCAGCAGAACGTCGTTGGGGGAAGGACTGGGGAGGCTTCCCAATTCACACAGATCCTTGAATTTGGGTTCAGTCCAAGTTTCATCAGGATTTCTGGAGAAACACAGAAGCCCCAAGTAATAAAGAGCCCAAGGATACTTCCTGTAGCGGCCTCCAAATGAGCAGAAATCTGGATCACAGAGACCCGGCAGGAAAAAGACAGCACGCTTAAATTAGGTAGTGTGAGAATTTACTAAAGGGGCTATGTACAAAGAGGGAGGTCTAAGGATCCTAGAAGCTGAGTGACTGGGGCAGGTCAAAGCGAGGGCACGGAGAGTGAGAGTGAGTAGCTACCAAGGAAGTTCCAGAGGAAGAGAGAGCTGTGTGGAGAGGGCTGCAGCCAGCCCACAGGCCCCCACAGGAAGGGCCTGGACCAACAAACATCCCCACCTCTTTCTCCACCCTCCCACCAATCTTCTGTCCACTGGCCAAACTCAACCAGCAGCCAGAGGACAACGGAACCTGTTCATCGAGTCTACACAAGTCAACCCCGGGGACACACAACAAGATGGAGGCGGGGGGACACTGGGCCTGGGTTGGGGGAGGGAGCACAGTAAGCAGATGTCCTGCACAGCTGCTGTATGTCACTCAATGTTCAGGTGGAAAGACCAATGAATCTGCAAGGAAGAACACACTTGTACTTAATATCTGCTATTTATCAAGCATCCTGCACCAAAACCTTTATAACATTTAAAAAAACATCTGTTCGCCCTAAGAACTCAAGAGGTGGGGCGGGACAGATATTGGTATTACAGGTGAGAAAGCCAAGGTACAGAGGTCAGGAGGCTTGTCCAAGGTCGTAGGGCTGGTGAGTAGCAGGCTTAGGGTTCAAACCCAGGACAGACATAGAGGGAAAGCAAGGCTTCAGGTTGGTACCTAAAATCCTATTTCACCATTTCTAATGAGAAAGAAAAATGTGTTTATTCTACTTAAATAGTTGTTCTAACAGCTTGGAGTGCCTTCACAAGAGATTGACAAGTTCAGTTTTTAACAAAGTTTCTGTAGTAATGAATTTGCAGAAGATGTGGCATGTCTAGGAATGATAGGCACTATTAAATGGGACTGAAAGGCTAGTAAGTATCTTTAAAGGGAAATCTGATTTTTTTAAATATGAAAATTTAAATTTTATTAAAAAGGTACAAGGATTGTAAATACAAAGTGATTTCTCAGTCAGGCGAATATTCGTGTTTCTCTCTTATACAGGACTTGCCTTCTGCATCACTCCCTTCCCTGGGGCTAAAGGGGACAAAAAGAAAGACCTACTCATTTCCACTTCCTTTAAGGACAAGCAGGACAGTGTGTATTGAGAAAAGCAGAGGTTTCATTTATACCATAATTGGTCTAGGAAATTGGAATTAGTTGGAAAGTAAATATTAGGACTGACATGCAGCTGGTAGCTTGTTTACTTTTCAGTACATTTCCTTCCGAAACAGGAATCAAAAGAAATTTTACTCTTGAATTAACTGAACAAAACACCACCTAGTGGCAGTTGAAAATATCTTAAAAGTGAGAACGTAAGTTCCTTGTAGAAAATTTGGAATCAATTCACTATCAGTTTATTTTACCAGGTAACTTCAGTTTAATATTAAAATACTAAGAGGTTTCCAAAGCTGGGTTTGGGGGGCTATAACTGTAAAAAGTTGGGCAGAGAAAATCCTGTTGCACCAATTACCACTGAATACTCCTTTCTTAATGCATGTGTTCTGTTGTGGTTACACGGCCAATGGGATGTTTCTACTTTGAAGCCCAGAAAAATATCCTTCCCACATTTCAAATTTTTATTTTCAAAACTAGCATGCCATGATCATTTGTTTTACTGGATGTATCTGTGAGCCCTGCGGTGTCCCTTCTGTGTAGCCCCAAGAGTCGCCTCCACTAAAGCCTTTATCCATGAGCCCATCCTTCTGAAGGAGGCGCTCTGCCTATGACTTCTCAGGGGAAAGAGGGGCCATCAGATGGGAACTCACTCAACATCCTGCCACTGAAGCTCCACACTCCCGTCCTCTTAGGATAGGAGAGGTGTCCTCTCCTGCGCTGAGCCCGGGCCTAATGCTTCCACCTGAATCTTGGCATCTCTCCTCAGGACTCCTCAGGGTGGTCCTCGCTCTGCCATCCTGTCTCCAGGCGCCTCCCTCCCTGCTGATGCATTCCCAGCTTCATTAAAGCAGAATGGCTCTCCCGCCCTAAAAGCAGACAAACCTCGGACCTGTTCAGTGTCCACCTCTACCTTTAGCCCTCTTTTCCTTCTTTACAGGTTGTCTGCACTTGCTGTCCCCAGTTCTTTATCCGCCATTTATTCCTCAACCAAATGGAATCGGGGCTCTTAGGGCTTCTTGGCAGCATTTACCTCAAGTAGCCATTCCTCCCTTACTGAAGTGATTTTGTCCCTTGACTTCGATGACGTCACACTCTCCTGGTCCCTCACCACTCTCTCATTTCCAACTTTTCTCTTTGTATGTTTGCCCTTTAAGTGTTGGTGTGCCTTGGAGATGGCCTTCAACTCTGGGCATTTAACCCACTCCCATGGCTTAGTTTTCTGGTGGACTGAAGGAGTCTGCAACCTGTTAGTGCTTGCCACGCATACCACTACCTCATTGTTGCTCAAAATACATAGTACATCCTTTTAACTGTTCTTTTATACTCTGCCTTGTTACAAAATGGAATTGAGGCGTAAGTATGTGTCTACAAAAGCAAGAACTAGGTGCTATGTATTACACTGAACATTTTAAATGAATCATCTCATCTAATTCTCACAACAAATTCATGGATCAGGTCATATTTGCCTATTTTGCAAATGGAAACACTGAGGCTCTGAGGAGATAAATAATTTTCCCAAGGTCCCACAGAAAGTAGCAGAGCTAGGATTCTATAACGGGCTAATGTTTTAATGTTAAATTATACAATCTTTTCTTTACCCTACTTCTCTCACGCTAACCATTAAAGCAGTAATAGTTTTCTAGGTGTGTGACCTACAGAGGAACGATAGACACAGTTTAGAACGAAGAAGTTAGAGCTCAATTTTGACTTTCTAAAAAGATGTTTTAAAGCCGGTGGTAGGGAAAAAAACACTAATGAGAGGCTGGCTTTCTATTGCAAGAACTAAGTGCTTGAATGAGACAAGGATTCTTGCTACACCTCCAATGCTGAGAGTTAAGCCTGGAAAATTAGCTATAGAATGTACCGAGAACCCCTGAGGTGAGAAACTGCACAATGTGACATACAGGTGGTGTCTCCTGAGTTGAGGAGAAGCTTGGGAAGATTTGGGGCCATGTGTACTTCGCACATGTGAGAGCCTGTTCCTTGATCCCTACTTTGGGACTGACATTCTGATATAAGGGAGTGACGATGACCAGTAGATAGGTGAGGAGAAACTCGAAGCAGATAGACTTGTTTCCTGTTTTCCAGTACACGGCAAAGAAAGTTGCAATTCTCCTAGAGATGCCCTGTGTTCGGAATGATACCAGGACGGGGATTAGCAGTGGATGAGAGAGCTGTTTAGATGGATGTGTTTCCCACGGCAGCTTCACAGAGGCCTGGACCCTCCAGAATGGGGCAGAGAATGCAGCTAGCTAAGAGTTCCTGGACCCCAAAGGAGGGGCAAGGAGCACTGAGAGACTTGGGAGCCTAGAAGAGATGTAGGATCAGAGCAATGGGGTCTCAGAAAACCTTGAGGGAAGACTCACCAACATCCATATTCAGTGATCACAGGCCAGGTGACTCTAGCCCACTAGAGGGACAGGACCTCAGGGGATACCAGCAAAGACAGGATGACAGTTTAGGGACTAGGCCATCCTTCCTCATTGCCAAATGTCCCCTGGGAAGGAGAGGATGGAAGTAGGCACTTCCCCTGAAAGCGGGAATACTCATGCCAAAGAAACTTAGTAAACTTGACAGAGACTGGGGCTTAGGAGAGAGGAATTTAGGAACGAGTGAGAGGAGAGTCTAGGCACAGAACCGTCAAGCCATGGAAAAACCCCCATGTCACACGTTCCTCTGGAGCTGCCTTTGCTTTCCTGCTTTGTCCCTTGGGGTGACTGGTAACAGCAAACCTGCTGGCCACTGTCCTGGACATAGTTGGAAGGGGACTCTCATCACTGCTGTTCACCTTATTGTTGCTTTTTCCTCATTTGTTTGGGAGATTGGGGGTCAAAAATATTTTGGAGCAGTAAGAAATAAAGTTTGAAAGCTAATTAATTTCAAACATTGGTTGTGAGAGTTTGTTTTTGCTGAATATTTCTGGATATTATCAAACAGCTCAGGATACAGTAGAAGGAAGTGATCCCTTCTCTCTGTGCCCATTGAGTTCTTCCCTAAAATGCTAAGTTCCTCCTCTAGTTATGTTCTGGGGTATCCTTACTAAATTTTTCATTAATGTAAGTAATCTCTGTGTGTGTATTCCTCAAGACCCAATGGAACCTGAGTGATGAGAACAATACAGAAGCCAGCATTCTGACCAAGTCATTAGAACAGAGCCCTCAGGTGGTTCAGCAGATACTGGCATCGTCTACCCACTAGTGTTGCCACCCCTTTTCTTTGTTCCTTCAGTCCTGACTCTGTTAAGGAAGCAGGCATGCATGTGCTTCAGGGAACTCTGGCCCCGACCTAAATCAATCACTGTAACCCCAGGCCCTTTGCCAGTGAAGAGTTTAGTGATGGCTAAATTCTGTCCAATAATAAGGAAGGCAGTGGCTGCTGGGAAGGCCCTGGGAGAGTTTGGGGATGGCATCTGTATTTATTTGCTAGGGCTGCTGTAACAAGTCACCACCAACTGGCTTAAATAACAAAATGCATTGTCTCCCAGTTCTGGAGGCTGGAAGTCTGAAGTCAAGATGTTAGCCAGGTAGGTTCCTTCCAAGGGCTGTGAGGAAGAATCTGTTCCGGGCTTCTCTCCTTGGCTTGGAGATGGCCATCTTCATGTTCACATTGTTTTCTCCAAACCTTCCCTTTTAACAGTGATAGAAAAGGAGAAGACACAGAGACACAGAGAGGGAGGCTGGTAAGGATGAGCCAGTGGAGTGACGCAGCCCGGGAATGCCAAAGATCACAGCAGTAACCCCAGAAGCCAAGGGAGAGGCAGGCAACAGGGCCCCCCTCAGCGCTCCCATAGCTTGTTTCAGTTCTTGCCCCCAGAACTGTGAGAGAAGACCCTTCTGTTGCTTTAAGCCACCCAGCCTCTGGGAATTTGCTACGGCAGCCCTCTTGCACAACCTGTGTTGCCAAAAGTGCTGCTTTCACACAAAAAGAAGTACGTCTGAATTGCCTGAAAACAGTTATACCTGGAATAAAACCTCCCAAAAATAAGCTGAACCCTGGCTCTCAGTAGACAAACAGAAGGTGTTCGGGAGTCACCAGGAAAGCCAGCTCCTGCCAATCAGGATCAGCGCCCCCGGCAGCGGGGTTGAGGTCCTGGGTGGAGGGCCTGCCCTGGCAGCGATGACTGCTGTCCCTGGGATCTGGGAAAAGGAGCCCAAACCTCATACAAGGGGAGAGGGGACCGAGAACAGAAACTAGCCCTGACTAGTAGCTGACAAGATCACGTCTTAGGACAATGTGGCTGGGAAGCTGCCACTGGTTGTTACCCCTGGACACTTGCTCAGACTGCACTCTTGTCCCAGTAAATAATTTCTCAGTGGTCCCTTCACCTTTGCAATATCGCTCAAGAGTTAAAGCCGCAGGTGGCAACATCTAATTGGCTGAGCTCAGGTCCCCAGCGGCCCATGCTAACCCCCAGGGGATGGAGATAGGGGTCCCATTCAGGTTCTGTAGTGGGAGGGAGTTCTCTCCTCACCAAGACTTACACAATGGAAGACTCTCCCAATATAAAAATGAAGTTTGGATGCTGAGTAGGCAAAGAGACTAACAAGCACCCACCAAAGGGAAACTATGCAACTGGAAGCATCAGAAACAAAATGAGTAGGAGTTGGAATGCGAAATGCAGAGACCTGCGTCCCAGCCTGAAAGGGTCTGAGAAATGAACGGAAATTTCACTGATTTAAATAGGAGTGATTTTAAATTTTGTTTCCATTTCACTGGGCATTTCACTGAAAAATACCTTGTTGGGAGCACTTGGATGAAAAAATTCTGATTTGGCATAACTCCCCAGGTCCCGGACCGCAGGCACAACCCTGAGAACGTCGGCAGGCGCGCGCGGCTGGCAGCTGTGCGCATGCGCGCCGCGAGGTCCGGCCTCGGGGTCCACCTGCGGGCGCGGCTTTTCTTCAACTTCACCGCGCCAGGCCCGCACCGCCCGGCAGTGCGGGGATTAGCACAAGTGTGCCCACCTGCGAACTCTAGTGTGGGTTTCCCAAATGAGGGTGGAGGAGGGGCGGTTATTCAGAAGGCAGTTCTTGGTAGGTCGGGATGGGGGCTGGAAGCTGGGTGTTTTTTCATTTCAGGATGCACAAGGTGCCTCAGGCTTGAAGCAGAGAATTTCTGTGGTTCTGAGACTGGGTGCAGAGCTGCCCCTGTGGCTCTCAGGGGTCTGCGCCTTACCCTGATGGCCGGGACAGAGGACAGACGCCGGCTAGAGGCTGTGGCGCTGCAGGGCCCTTCCTGACCCATCTTCCTCCCCGTTTCTCACACTCTTTGGAGGACCTGTCAGCAGAAGAGAGGCTGTTCTGAGCAGGTCTGTTCTCGCTGTTTGTGTGATTCATGGCTTTTTGGCTGTGACTTCTCTCTTACTCAAATCTTGTATATATACAGAACCCGGATCAGCTGAGTCTTATCCCTGTTTCCTAGATTTCTCCTGCTTCCCTTCCTCAGCTTGGAAGACCAAGCCAGCTGCCAGGTGTCACGTCGGGGCGTCCTGTGTCTGTGCCCCACAGCTGGGGAGACATACCCAAGATGATACGGAACAAGTTTAGGTTGTCATTTGGGGATTCATTCACTGCCAAAAGATGTCAGTAAATCCCTTGGGGTCTCTGAAGATGGGCCACCTTGGCTGTCGGTACTGTGGAATGCCCATCTAAAGACCACTGGTTAGAGAACACTAACTCTGGCCAAGGTCCCTGGGTCTGACCACCCTCGTTCACAGAGACAAGCCAGCTTTCCCAATCAGCTTTCTTAGAAATACAATTGGCTGTGATAAAAAAAAAAAAACACCTAGGTCTAATTAAAACCACACATCTTAAGTGTAGAACTTGGAGAGTTTTTATGAATTTATGTCCCCGTGTAACTGCCACCCAGATCCAGATACACACGTGATTGTAGTTGAGAGTCAATTAGAGCCGATTCTCCATGGGGGAGCACCTAAGGCAGAGGTTCTCAAACTTTAACATCGATCAGAATCCCCTGGAGGCCTTGTTAAAACGCAGATTGCTGGGCCCCACCCCAGAGTTCCTGATTCCGTAGGTGTGAGGTGGGCTGAGAATTTGTATTTCTAACAAGTTCCCAGGTGGTGCTGATGCTGCTCGCCAGGACCACACTTAGAGAACGACACCCAGGCTCGGGGGTTGCCAGTAAGTGTTAGTTAAGCTGCCTGGTATTTATAACCACACAGAGAAGGAAAGCCCATTAGCAGAACAATTTTAACTAAAATGAATCACCCAGGTACTTAGCTGATGGTCTTTAAATTCTGCCATTCTGTCATTTGGCCCGGAAGCCTTTAATCCAGAATCTGTTTCCAGCAAAAGGGTCACCAAAGTTATAAGTATAGATTGGATCAGCACATTGCTTCTTTGAGACTACTTACCAGGGAATGAACCAGTGTGAGGATCCAAAGAGCTTGAAAGGATCAGCATGCTTTTAAAATCTGGAAGATTCACTATGCCCTTTTACGGTCAGAGAAGGGGTATTGGCAAATTGTTTTGAGATCCTTAGAAGATTAACCAGTCAACACCTACTATTAGAGCATTTTAAATATTTTTAAAAGGAGCACTGTTGCATAATAAGAAATGTACATTTGGTCTTTGTCCCCAGTTCCTGACACACAGTTCCTAAAACCCTGGGAACCTCTGGGGAGTGATGTGTCTTTTGTATGCTCATGAGGTGGCTGGTATCTGGAGGCCCCTAGATGGCTTCTGGATGGAGCTGGTCTCCAAGGCATGAGTAAAGGGTTGGAACTTTCAGCTCTGCCACCCTCCACACCCCTGACTGGGGAAGGGAAAGAGGCTGGAGAGTGAATTCAATCACCAGTGGTCAATGACTTCACAATCTTGCCTACGTAATTAAACCTTTGTAAAAACCCCTAAACCACAGGTTTGGAGAGCTTCCAGGTTGATGAGAACACCAAAGTGCTGAGAGGGCGGCCTGCCCAGAGAGGGCGTGGGAGCTCTGTGTCATACTTTGCCCTGTGCATCTCTTGGCTGTTCTCGAGTTGTATCCTTATAATAAACCAGTAATAGTAAGTAAAGCGCCTTCCTGAGTTCTGTGAGCCATTCTACCGAACTAATAAACCTGAGAAAGAGGGTCATGAGAACCCCCTATTAATAGCCAGTTGGTTAATCAGAAGAACAGGTGACAGATAGTCTGGGACTTTTGACTGGGCAGTCCTACAGGGGTCTGCATGCTAACTCCAGATAGGTAGGGTCAGAATTGAACTGAATTGTACTACGCCCAGTTGGTGTCTGAAGAATAGAAGAACCAGTTGGTGGAGAAAAACATCCAACACATTTGGTGTCAGAAGTGTTGTGAGTGTGGCCCGCTCAGGCACATTTAGTAAATGTAAAACCAACCACCTAAAATGTGCATTTTTTTGTTTTTATATTCATTTTTCTGAACCTAGAAAGTTTTTCACAACTTTCCATATATTTCAGATTTGTAAATGATGATTATACATTGCTTTGATAATCAGGAAAAAACCAACCCCCAAACAAATAAAAAATTTCCAGGGAAAGCAGTGATAGAGACTCAAAGAGTTAAAATGATTCACTGACTGACACCTCTGGCCGCTTCTCTTTGGATAAGCAAGGGCATTTAAGAATTTCTGTATTACAAGATATTTACTTTTCTTCCTACTACTTTTTTTCCTACAAAAGATATATCAAAGTGTCCTTGGGCTGTTGCTCATTGCTTTTTGAGTTTGAATCTACAATGTACAAGAAATAGATTTTTAAACAATAGTCTTTTAATATACTATCTTCCTATAATTTTTCTTCTTTTTTAAAAAGCAGCATGTAGGTAGAGCAGTATTTGCATGGAAGAAAATTAGTTTTTGTTTTGTTTTGTTTTGTTTTATTTTTTAAGGAAAAAGCAAACCACTTTCACTGTGGAGTAAACAGTAATTCTGGCCCCTGATTCATTAAATCCCCTTGTGTTCACTTAGCATGGGCTTCACTAGCCAGTGGTTGTTCTGTGAGCAAACATTCTGGCAACTCTTTCTTTAGAAAGAATGTTCTTGCAGACAGGATTTGTACTATTAACTCCATCTTCTAGGCCTCCACGGCTGAGAGGGATGTGACCGAAATGAAAAACTACACTCAGGTGGATGGATTCATAAGGCTTCATCGTAACAGCACGCTGGGGCAGGGCTTCTTCCAGGTCCTTCTGAGGCTGTGACTGCGTGTGTCAGCAGTGGTGAAAGCAGACTCACTGCCCACCACGTGGCACAGCCCTGAAGACAGGACCAGCTGGGGACAGACAGGCTGCTCCGGGGGCCAGCCAGGGCTCTTTCCACACCCCTTAAGGCAAAGGCAACCAACATATGCAGCTGCTTCTACTTTTCAAAAGTTGCAACTCATTAGTCTTGTGTTTGGTTGACCTTCCTTAAATCTAAAACAAAATCTCAACAACAACAACAAAAAGTAGAGTCATGTTTTTTCAGCATGTGAAATGAAACAGAGTAGTCATGGATGACCCATCCTCCCATATTGAAGGCTCTTTGTTATTATGTCCTTAAACTCATGTTCACCCAGCTCCTCCCTGGGTAAAGGACTTGTCACTTTGCAAGGCAGCGCTCTCCATCACCAGACAGCTCTTGTGGGTAAAGAACACATCCCCTCGCTGAGCTAGGGTCTACCACCGGGACCTTCTGCCCAGCGCTTCTGGAGCACATCAGATGAAGTCCCATCCCTCCACCACAGGACAACACTTTAAGTGTCTGTTATTTCATTTTCTCTGAACCTCCTGTTATTCAGAACAAGCATTTTGAAGGCTCTCAACTGTTCCTCAAATTACATGGTTGCTACATCCCTCACTTCATCCTCATTCTCCACCAGACGCTCTCCAGCCTGTCCAGTGCTGAATGTGTACTCTCACCTGGTGAGCGCTGAGCGAAGACCCAAGGGTTGTAATCTTCCTTAACTGACACTACTGCCAGCAGGGCTGCCTAATCTTTGAAAGTCTTATGACAGCCTTGCCATTCTACTAGCTCAAAATGAGCTTGTGGTCAGCTAACCCCATGCCAGGGTCTTTATTATATGAACTTCTGTAAACCACTTTGTGGTCTAATTATTTGAGCCAGACTATGGCACTTTAGATGTGCCCGGTTAAATAACAATAAACTGATTCTCAGGGAGAGTAGCCATTTCATCTAAGATCCCACAACTAGTAATCGGGGTTTTAGCATATCATTCTTTGAGAGCACATCAAACTTTTTCATTCTTGACTATATTATTCAAAAAATTATCAGCATCAAAACAAAACAAAAATTAAAAAAAGCTTGCATTTTTAAATGCTTTTTGTAAAGTAACTAACTTAATCCTCATAACCACTTTATAAGTCCTATTATCATCCACGTTTTAGGGTTGAAGAAGCTGAGACACAGAGATGTTTATAACTTGCCTGAGATCACAGAGTTGATAAACGGCAGCGCTGGGATTTATGCCCGGACAGTCTGGCTTCAGAAGAGGTATGCTTAACCACTGTGCCGCTCAAAGCAACGTTTCTGGTTCTCTGTCATCTAGAGATCTGTAAAAATGTCTTTGATTTTAGGAGCGTAGGAGTTGATTTACTTACTCAGCACTTGCTGATTCCCAGGCTTCATGCTTGGCATTTGGTACGTGTGTCCAGGACAGACAATGGGGAGATTGGCACACAATGACTGTGGTCATAAGTGACAGAAACCTGACTGAAACTAAAGCTAGCCAGAAAGGTGGGGGGTGGGCGGGGTCTACTGTTGCATACACGCAAAGGATGAGAAGAGTAGATCTTGGTTTGGAGGCGATAGTATCTAGCGGGAAAGTGGTTAGAGGATGGGTGGGATTTGTTCCCAGGACAAGAGGGCAGGCCAACCAGGCAGAAGTAAACAAGAGCCACCTAGCAGATGGAGGTCTTTGGTACAAGCCCTAGAAGCCTATTCTGGCTACCTCAAAGACAAAGGAAATGTATCAGAAGGCATGGGGTGGCTTTTAGAATCCTAAAATCAATTGAAGGACCAGGCTCAACAGAAACAAGAACTAGGGCAGCTTGAGGGCCACTTTCTGGCTTCTCTTTTGTGTATCCAAATTGCCAGCATCATCTGCACTTTGGGGCCATTATTAAGTAAGATAGGGTGATTTGAACACAAGCAGCGCCATATCCCAACTGTTGATCTGATAGCCAGGCCAGCTCCTGAGTGACTAATGGGCGGGATGTGCTGGAGAAAGGGATGGTTTACATCCCAGGCGGGACCGAGCAGCACAGAGCGGGCTGGCGGAGATTTCATCACAACGCGCAGAGAGGTGTGCAATTTAAAACCTGGGGATTGTTTATTTCTGGAATTGTCCATTTAATATTTTCGGACTGAGGTTGGCCACAGATAGCAAAACCACATATAAGGAAGGACTAAGGAATAGTGAAGGCAAAATTGAAGTGTGAGACCAGTTAGGAGAATTTGCCTAACTGCTAGGCCAATAATAGTATTTCATTGTTCTCTGTTCTGCACTTGAACATTTTATATATAAATTGGTTGTTTGTACTCCTATTGAAAGTGGCCTATTTTAAGATCTTTGCTGATGTTGCTATTAGCATATTTACCTTCTGTTATGATTTTCAATGATGTTAAGAAAGTAGCTCTTTATCAAATATGTGTAGTTCTCTGTCTGGAGTTATTCTTTTAATTTAATACTGTTTGTAATTTTTTTAGAGATATTTTTAATTTTTATGAGGACAGATTTTTAAAAAACTTTTCCTTTAGGGATTCTGCTTGTGGTTTTGTACTCAAAGTATTTTGCCAAGATTACTGCTTCAGGCTAGGCTTTTTCATTTGTAAGCAGTAGAAGCCAGCTTAATTAAAGGGAAATTCATTACAATACTTGTGATTTAAACGGGACCCTAGAGGTAGGAGATTTATTAAGGCTACACGAGAGTCTAGAACTGGGAACTAAAACCTTACCTGGAACCAAAGCACCTTCCCCATCTCTCTGAGCTTGCCTGCTCTCTCCCCTCTGCTTCTCTCTAAGCATCTGCTTCATTCTTCTCTGAGAAATGGTTCATCCACCCTGTGGCCACCCCAGTTCCAGTACCACTGACAGGTGGACTGGCATCTCTGTGCCCCAATTTCAGCTTGTGGGAAAGAGAAGCTAATTCACACAGTGTTTCCAAAGAAAAAAAATTCCTGCTAGTTTTGCTGTCAAACCTCAGACTGCAGAGTTACAGCCACAGTGCGTGATAAGTACTTAGTTAAGATAGAAAAAGTATTAAATTTGTACAGTAAGATATTTTGAGAGACAGATCCACATTCACATAACTTTTCTTACAGTACATTGTTGTAATTGTTCTATTTTATTATTGTTAGTATTAATCTCTGAATGTGCCTGATTTATAAATTAAATTTTATCATAAGTATGTATATATAGGAGAAAACACAGTATATATAGGGTTCAGTGCTATCTGCAGTTTGAGGCATGTATGTATCCCCTGAGGATGGGGCCACTGCTGCAGTCTTTTCTTAACACAGCAGCCAGAGGGCGCCTTTTTTTTTAATTGAAGTATAGTTGATTTACAATGTTGTGTTAGTTTCTGGTGTACATAATAGTGATTTAGTTTTATATATATATATATGTATATACATATACACACACACATATATATAGTTATATATATATGTATATACATATACATACACACACACATATATAGTTATATATATATATGTATATACATATATACACACACACACAATATATATATATACACCCACTCACATTTTTTCAGATTATTATTCATTATAGGTTATCACAAGCTATTGAATATAGTTCCCTGTGCTGTACAGTAGGACCTGGTTGTTTATCCAGGGGGGCGCCTTTTGAATCAAAAGCTGGAACACTTATGCCCTCCCATCCCTCCAGTGGCTCTCCATCTTGTCTAGAGGAAGCCACACTCCCTAGGACCATGTAGTAGCCTGCATTACCTCATTAACCACATCTCCTCTCACTCTGCCCTTTGCCCCCTGCCATTCCCTGCTCCAGCCTCTGACCTGGTTGTTGTTGTTT